CCGGCGCCCCCCGGGCAGCCCCTACCTGTGCGAGCTCCACGCTGGCGGGCAGCCCCTCGGGCAGCGCCTGGAAGAGCAGCAGGGCCATGGCGGCGCGGAGCCTGCTCGCCATCCCCCCCACCCCCCGCTCCCCGCCTCCCCGGCCCGACTGCGGCCCGGGACGGCAGCCGAGGGGGCACCCCGCGCCCCGCCCCGCCCACGCCGCCTGCCTATTGGGCGTGCCGCGCGTCTTCCGGGCTGCTATTGGCTCCCCTCGCTATCGCTCAGGACAGTGCTAGGAGGGGCGAAAGCGGCACACTGGGAGCTGCCATGTTGAGTGTGGAGCACTTGGGGGGGAAGGAGGGGGTGCTGCCATCTTGTGTGTGGCGGAAGCGGTTGGCAGGGGTGATGGCGGAGGCGCTGCGGTGMCCCCGGCGCGGAGCCGCCGGGGTCCCTCGGGCCTCAGGCCGGCTCAGGGAGGCCTGGAAGTGGGACACTTTGGGMCAAGCTGGTTCCGGGCTTGTCCCGTGCCTGGCGTGTCCTGGTGCTGCTCGGCGGTGCCGAGCAGGGAGCAGCTCCTGCGTAACCAAATGCTGGAGTTCCCAAGTAGCCCCTGCCCCGTGTGAGCGCACCTCGTCCCGTCCTGTCCCGTCCAGCCCCTGCCATCCCTACCAGGAGGGAACCTCTGTCAGTCTCCCTGGTTCTCCTGAGCYGAGCTGGAACCCATTGGAATAGAGGGGATGTCAGTGCGTGTGCCTTGGGCTATGGGTCGGAATGAAGCCTTCTCCTATGCGGTGGGGAAACGCTGTGTCCCCCCAGCCCCGGCCAGCCTGGGGCTCCCTGGGCTCGTGTACTGGGAGAGCTTCACTCGTCATCAGGACTTAATATGAGCCAGACTAGCATAGCCACGGAGCAACGTGGGCTGGCACGGCCTGAGCATCGCCCGGGCTGCGCACCCGAGCCGAAGCTGAGCCGTGCGGGAGATAAATGCACAGCCTTCCTCCTCTTCCTCAGGCCGAGGGGACTGAGACCCTATGTTCAAGCGTGGCAAGAAAGGCTGTGCTGGGGTGGAGTTTGGGTCTGTGTCAAAAGGCTGTTTCAGAAAGTGCTACCCAAGGTCAGCTACTTTTACCCAGTTTGTTAATAAAGTGCTTTCTCTGTGCACTGAGCAAACACAYAGCCTTCCTGGGGGAGAAAATGCTACGGGCAGGCACCAAGAGGTGCTTTTAGCAAGAAGAGCAACAGCAAGTGTCTCCTAGTCCTGCAAGGCCCAGGTGCTCCACAAGTTGCTCCAGAAGTTGCATCCTGCTTAGGGCTGAGCCCAGCCCCTGCTTGGCTCACGCTCCCGTATCCCCACAAACCTGTGTGAGCTGGACACAAGGGACAACAGGGGTGAGGGCRGCTGGAAAACAGCCCCTGGGAGAAACTGTGACGGGAGCCGTGGCCGCTCCGGGGGCCATGCGGGGAGAAGCGTGACACACTGGCAAGTGGAGCGGCCTCGGCACAGCGTGTCCCAGCCCGGGCAGTCCATCGCCTGGGCTTGTCTCTGGGCACTGAGAGGAAGTTCAGGAGACTCGAGTTTAATCCGTGGCTCGGAGGAAACGTCTCATGTTTCTCGGGCAGTAAGACCGGCTTGCTGCGCTGCCGCTCCTTGTGTGTCAGGCAGCCTCCACAGGGGATTGGCCCCGGGAGGTTTATCAGATGCTCAGATAACACGTTAAGAAAAAAAAAGTGAAAAAAAAAAAAACCCAACAGTTTAGCAGCTTATCTCCTAGCACTGGGATTTTTCAGCCAGGGCAATAGCTGGGACACACCTTGCGCTGCTGAAGCAGCTGGCGCCGGTGTCAGCAGCGTGGGCTTGCAGGAGTTAACCCATTACACAGGCACGCACTCATAGGGAGTCACGTTAATTCACCTCCACCAGCGTTTGGAGAAGGAGGGTGAACTCGGTCTTAGTCCCGAGGCTGCTGGTTCATCAGAGACCCACAGGCTCGCAGGTTCCCACAGCCCCTCTCTGGGCCCTGCTGCTGCCCAAGGAGACGTCTTTGGCCTCATTTTTATTTTAAAGGAGGCTGTAAACATGCTGGAGTGCTGACTTTTCAGCCCTGCAATTATTAAAGGAGCTTTATTCCTGTTCCCAGCTAGCCCTGAAATTAAAGGCACAGCGGGGAGAAGGAGGCAAACTCACAGGACCCTGGGACGAGCCCAGATCAGCCGTGACTCATTGCTGGAGAATAATTAACACTTGCGGCCCTTTGGAAACAGATGAGTCCAGCTTTGATCCCTGGCAATGAGGTTTCCTTCCCGTTGCAGTGCTGAGAAATGGAGGCCGGGCTGGGCTGGCGCGTGCGGCTGGGATGTGACCGCTGAGCTGGGCTGAGGAYGGAGCCACGGGGCCGGTCAGCTCCCTGATCCCCCGAGCCCAGCACAACCCTCTGCCTTTGGCCAGGAGCAGTGAGCTATACCCACGTTCCGCCAGCACGGCCAGGGAGAATGGCGGGAGTTGTTCACAGGCATGGGATGACAACAGCTCTTCAGAGCCCTTGCTCCGTTGTCCCTCCTGCATGGCCAGGGGCTGCGGTTTCCTTGCAGAGCCCATGGGGTTCTGTCAGAGGATTCGATTCCTGGGGCAGAGCTCAGCACAGAGCCCCTGCTGGCTGTGTGGCCCTGGGCTGCTGGCTGAGAGAGGGACAACCAGCTGCAAGACCTGGATCCCACATCTCCGGATACCCCTGGCATCCAGGCAGGAGGGAGCCCAGAGACACCACAATGCAGCCAGGAAGTGCTGATCCAGTCCGACCCAGGCCAGGACACAGCCGTCCCCTGGGCTGGCTGCCAGGGTGGTTGCTGGAGCTCCCCAGGGCACACAGAGCTCTCCTGGGAGCGGGACATGGTCTCCAGTTGCCCCCCCACACGCTGTCCCTTGGGAGCACGGGCAGCACACGGGAGGTGCAGCTCTCTCTCAGCCAGGTCAGTGCAGTGAAACCTCTGCCACGCAGCAACGGGCACCGCTTTCTCTTCCRAGCCCTGCATTTGCCCCTGCAGCCTCCCGTTCTGGTGGAGCGAATCCCTGCCAGGACAGGGAGGAAGGAGGGCAGCCAGCAGGGAGGCTTTTCCCCGTGCTCCCAGCCTTGCTTCAGGTGGGTGCTGCCCTRGCATCTCTGAGCAGGGGCCGGACCTCCAGAGGGGTGCCCAGGCTCGGGAAGGGGCCAGCACAAGGACACAGCTGGCGCGCACGGCACGGGCGGCTTTACGGAGCTGGGCGCATCGCGTTGCGGGAATCGCCTCATTCCTGAGCGTGTGGGAGCTGCCTCGGACCCGAAGGCAGGCCAGGCTGCTGCAGGGGCTCGAGTGGAAGTGCCCAGTGTGGTTTCAGCTGCAGAGAAGGACAAACTGGAGTTAAGAAGCCGCAGGAAGGCAGGCAGTAGGGATGTCCCCCTGTGGCCTCTTCCCACTCCCAGGAGGAACGACATCTGCTTCATTTCAGGAGCTTATCTATTTCTTTTTTAATTGTGCACTAACAAGAGATCTAATAAAACCCAGGGAACAGATATGCAAATTTGAACCTGTTTTTCCACTTTTCCCTTACCTTTTAATTATTCCATTGCTTTTGTGCACTTTTGCAGCCGTAGCTCCCTGTGCTCTGGGACATCATCCTCTGCCTGGTGCCGCTCAGGCAGAGTCAGTCCTGCAGCCTGGCCCTTCCACAGGACAGTGTGGGCTTGTCTGCATCCTTGTGCATGTGCAGCAGTTAGCACTAACCCTCTGGCATCCTGCTCGCACAGGGATGCTGCTGCTCAATGTGATCGGACACCTACTCCCAGCAGCAGGGACGAGTGYGGGCCATCGAGCACAGCACTGACACCTCCCCGTGTCCCCTCTGGAGGACCATTTGCAGCACAGTGAGCCTCCCTGGGATGCCCYAGGGTTTCGGGGCTGATGCCTTGCAGAGCTGCCTGGCTCTTCCTGGCCCCCAGGCTGCCTCTCCCCCGTGTCTGGTCACGCACAGTGTCCCCTTCCCAGGGAGGCAGGAGTCCCATCTGCYGGCCTCTCTAGGGACCAGACCCCTAAGAGCAGAAAAAGGCAGAGACAGCAATTTATTTTAAAAAACACTGCATTTTATTTTTCATCCCTTCGCTCTAGGGCTTGCAGAGTTGCCCCTTCAGAGCCTGAGTTAACACCCCACCTTCCCCATGGCTGCAGGTCCTTGCTACCACCCTGGGGACAGCGAGACGCAGGACAGCAGGCACAAGGGCTGGCTCTGSCCCTCAGAGGAAGGGGTAGCTTACACAAAATAGGGCTTAAAAAYGATCAGGTATTTCTCTCCTGGATCGTGGTGATTGCATAGTGAATGAAATATGAACATGATGGCACGTGAGGAATGGTCCAAGCAATGGTCCCGGGACCGGTCCCTCCACTCGTGCCAGAAAGGGAGGCAGTTTTGGGAGGAAGGCACGGAGGTGATGTGAGGCAGTGCTGCGGTTTGGTTCCTGGTCAGGGGCGCAGGCGATGGAGGGATGCCTGGTTTGGGAGGTAGGACTGCGCTCCGAGCACGAAGGTGGAGGGCCTGGTGCCTGCAGCTGGGCTGGGCTTGAGAGGCAGCAGGGCCAGGAGGGAGGCAGCGGAGAGCAGGACACAGGGATGCAAGGACATGGCCAGCACTGCAGCGGGGATGCTTAGGAGAAGCCAACACGTCTGCCATGACCTGGGCACGGTCCTGCCTCCTCCAGGGGTGACAGCGGCTGGAGACCCTCCTGGACATCTCCGGAGAATGGAGAGACCCTGCAATGAGAGGAGGGCRATCGGAGCCAGGCGCAGTCCCTTCCCTGCCTGAAAGCAGAGAGGGTCGCTCCAGAGGAGGGAGCAGGGACGGCTCCGATCCCAAGGCCGGCCCCGACCTGATCCCCCAGCCTGGCTGTGAGGGGGATTCGGTGGGACCAGGATATGCAGGATTGATGGTGTCCGGAAGGGCGTTGTGGCTCGGGGGCAGCCTCTGTTCACAGCCCCTTGTTAAAGTAGACGCAGGGCACTTGGTCGCCGCGCTTGGCCGCGATGCTGGCGCGCAGCTCCGGCTCCAGGTCAGCCAGCGCCAGGGAGCTGCGGGCACAGGGGCACACACTGAGACCCCCCACGCCACGGGCACACACTGAGACCCCCCACGACCACGGGCCTCTGTGCTGGCCGGGCCGCTCTCCTTCTGCACGGCCCAGGGCTAGGGAAGGAGGTAGCTCCGACTTTGCACGGAGCACAAAGCAGGGGGGATAGGTACCATCGCTGTGGGAAGAGGGCGCAGGCCGCCGGCACCATGAACAGGAGGCTGCAGGAGGGAGAAGAGCCCAGGGTTAGTGCCCACCATGCGGCTCAGTCCCAGAGATGCTCTCCCAACTTCCCTCCCCGGTGATAACCCAGGGAGGGAAGAGAAGCAGCTTTCAAATCCCCTGCCCGGAAAGACGTTGTTTTTGGTCGGAGCCAGAGCCTCGCTCTGGGGCCAGCAGGGTTTCAAGCAGTGAAATACTCACAAGCCCCCGCACAGCAGCATTTGCAAAGGCGCATGGAGAGCCCGGATTCTCTGTAAGGGAATAGCAAGGAGAGAGGGCTGAGCTGGATGCTCAGTGCTGCCCGCGTTCCCACAGGCTCTCCTTGTCCATYGCTGCCGAGTCCTCAGGGCAACGTGAATCAAAGGGGAGGCAAACGGAGCCGAGAGAGCCCCGACCCCAGCAAACCCTCCTGTTTCACCCTTGGCATCTTGGCCGCAGAGGGGAGGGAGGAAAAACTCACCTTCATGAAGGGGAACCTCTCCAGCCGCTCCATGATGATTGGCAGAATAACTAGGCACAGAGGGAAGGGGTCAGGGCCTGTGCACCTGCCCGCACAGCCACCCCAGCAGGACCTGACGCCCCTGCCCGYGGTGCCCAGGGGCTGGTCCTGCTGGGGTCTCCCCACCTATCCACCACCAGGCCATGCTCCTGACCCTCCCAGCGGCACACCAAGGGCTTTGGGAAGGGCTGAGGGATGCTAGATGGTCAGATRAGGAGCCAGGGCCAGAGAGAGCAAGATGCAGCCTCATGGGGCCTGAGTGTCATAGGAACGCTCCACATTCCCCATGGGCTGCACGTTGGGGCCAGGGGCCCTGATGGAAACAACAGGATGGTGAGATCATGTTGGCCAACTCCACTGGTGAGATGAGACCAAACGACCCCAGAGATGTGGCGGTCTCCTTCCCTCTTCCGTGCAGACAGGAAACCAAGGCAGGGGAAGGCAAGGTGGAAGGTCCCACCTCCCCGGACCAGCCCTTCCCRGGACAGGACAAACGTGCCCGGGCCGGCTGCACTCACTCATGCCCGGGGCCGCCATGGTGATCCTGGAGACCACGACCTGCGTGATGCCCTTGGCCGCAGCCCTCTGAAAGCGAGAGCAGCTGTGAGCTTGTGCTGTGTCCACCCTGGTGACATGCTGGAGCTCGCAATCCCGCCGGGACTCACCCTGGAGTGGCCRAGCTCGTTGCCGTCCCCATCTGTCACCACGATCCCGTGGATGATCTCCCTGGATGGGGACAGAGCGCTGTCAGCCTGCAGCCCCATATTGTCCTGCAGCCCTCTCAGCCCCATATTGTCCATCACCCTTGGAGGACCCAACTGCCACCGTGCCCTGGGCCACCCGAGGTGGCCGGGAGAGAGGGGACTCGGCTCCCTGGGATGCCGCGATCCCTCTCCGGGCAATGCTGCCATCTTCAGGCACCGCTGCAAACAGAGTCTGTCCATCCATCCATCCCCATGGGACAAACACCCGCTGCAGACCCCGGAGCCAGTCCCCAAGCATTAGGGCTGTGGGATGGGGAAGGAAGAAGGTTTGTTGGTGCTGGCAGCAACTGGGAGCTTCCCCCCACGTATGAGCAGGGCTCCCAGTCCCTCTCCATGCCGCTGGAATGGCAGCCAGGTGCTTAGAGGTGCCATCAATGTCCCCAAAACCCTGTAGGTGCCTTCAGTAAACCTCCAGCACCAGGACATCAGGCTGGGCCTCTCTTGCAGCCCAACAAAGCTGCCAAAATCTTCTRGATCCCCCAGACCAGCCCCAAGAATGGCCATTCTCACCCCAAAACCACCCTCATCCCTCTCGGGGCACCCGCTCACRCACGGACACTTACTGCTGCCTCATGATGGGGATGTTGACGCAGTTGGCGGCAGCCACGGCCACGAAGGGGACCCAGCGGGCCACCAAAGGGGGGGCTCTCTGCAGGACAGAGGGCGCAGGTGCCACCCCAGGGACACCCCAGCTCAGCCCCGCGCCGGGGGCTCCAGCCAAGCGCCTCCGCATCCCGGCCTACCTTGGTGTAGAGGTTGAGCCCCACGGCGGTGGCCAGCGCTGTGCCGGTGGCAGTGACATAAGCCACCACGATTTGCCTGTGCAGAGGACCACAGCGGAGGGAAGGAGCTGAACCGCCCGCCCGCGGCTCGGCCGCGCAGCATCCCGGTGCCCCGGGAGGGCCCCGGCCGCGCATGGACCCGGCTACGCAGCCCCGGACACAGATCCGGCCCCGGGAGACACCGGCAGGTCCCGGCACCGCGCGGGGCCGCACTCACGTCAGCGAGATGGGCGAGGCGGCGTTGCGGTTGGTGTAGTTGACGATGGCGTTGAAGGACTGGTTCACCCACTGCCAGAAGACCACGGCGGGCACCGTCCTGCGGGGCGAAGGTGTTGGCAGGGCCTCTGAGGGGAGTCAGGGGCCTGGGGCTCCTACACAGGGCCAAGGCGCCGAAGGGGATCGCTAAAAATACACCTTCCATCCCGATGTTTCCCAAGGGAAGCCAAGGCGCTGCTGGAGCCAGCAACCTGCCCAAGGGTGGGTGGTGATATGGTGGCAGAGCCAGGACAGGAGTCCAGGATAGGCTAGGCTAGGCTAGGCTAGGCTAGGCTAGGCTGCCATGGGGCACACAGGGAAGGCAAGGGACCCTATGGATGCAAGGGATTCTCTGGACACAAGGACAGGAAAGATGGTCCAGGAACAGAGTGAGCCACCATCGTCGGGAGGTCCCTCAGGGCTAGACCTTGCTGCCAAGCAGCCCAGCACATGGGGCTGAGATGAGGGAATCCCTTGGGAATGGCCTGGGATGGCCCCTGCGAGAGGGCAAAGCAGAGGGACACGGGACGTCTGGGGAGCACATTTTGCCCCAAGACTTGAGGGACCAGCAGCGCCGGCACAGGGCTCAGCGGGTTAATCATTACAGGGCCACGAGCAGGGGAGAAGCTGGGCAGGGAGATAAGGGCAAAGCGGGAGCYGCTGGGCCCGGGGACGCCCGCGCGGCGGCAGCGGCGGCCTCACCGGTAGAACTGGAGCATGCAGCCGGTGAGGGCCATGCCTCCGGGCACCTGGAAGGACATGCGGCCCAGCAGGTTCATCCTCTCGCCGCTGTCGGGGTGGAAGGCCGAGTCGTAGAGCGTCTTGGCGTAGCGCAGCTGCTCCTGGCTGCTCCCTGGCGGCACCAGCCCGGCCCTGGGAGCACAAGGGACGTGGCCGGGGTGGCCGCCGTCCTGCGGGGCCGGGGGCTCCCGCCGCGCTGCCCCCTCACCTGCAGCCCTGCACCAGCGCCCGGGCCCGCTCCAGCTCGGCGTYGGGCACCAGCGCCAGCCGCGGGTCCGTGATGGCCAGGAAGTGCCGCAGGCGCCCCAGGAACGTGCCCTGGTCCCAGCGCGGGGCGTCGATGTCGAAGGCAGATGTCATTTTCCAAAGGGTCTGCGCAGGGGAGGCGGCGATGTCAGTGTCCTTGTGGCGGGGAGCCCTGGCCGCAGTGTCGGAGGCTCCTGGGGCATTCCCAGCCCTGCGGCCGCACTGCCCYGTCCCGTCGCTGCAGCCGCTGGAGCCTTAAATGGGGCAGGTGCCATTGGCAGGTTGATGTTTAACGGAGCGGCCGGCGTTTYGCTGCTGCCTTTCGCAATGTGCCCCTGGGGGTCCCCCGTGAGTGCTGCTGCTGCACGCCTCTCACTGCACCCCCACGTCCCCCAGGCTCTGCATCAGCATCGCTGCACTGCATGGTGCCCTGGCATTGCATGCCGCAGCAGCGCTGCCCTGGACACTCCTCCAGCACACCCTCAGCACTGCACTGCACGTCCTACCAGCCGTACACATGCCCTGGGCACTGCAYTGTTGTTGTCCCAGCACTGCATACCTCCTGCAGCACCACACTGCACTAACTGCACATCCCTTTGCAGCATCACTCCCCCCACAGCACTACACTACACTCCCCCCGGGCCACACATGTCCCCTTGTTGCTGCATTGCACTACACCTCACCACACTGCAACCCCCTGGCAGCAAACACTCCCCTGCAGCACCACAGTGCATTGCACTGCAGCACATGCTCCTCTGCACTGCATTGCATAGCACACTGCACTGCATGTTCCCACCTGTAGCGCGCACCCTCTATTGCATCGCACAGTGCAGCGCACTGCACATTCCCTATTGCACGGCACTGCAGTGCATGCCCACCGTTGCATTGCATTGTCCCCCATTGCATTGCACTGCATTGCACTACACTGCACGCCCCCACTGCGTTGCACTGCACTGCCCCACTGCGTTGTACTGCATTGCACTGCATGCCCCCAAGATGTTGCATTGCCCCCTGTTGCATTGCACTACACTGCACGCCCTCACTGCATTGCACTGCACTGTCCCCCATTGCACTACGCTGCATTGCACTGCACGCCCCCATGGCGTTGCACTGCCCCCCACTACATTGCATTGCACTGCATTGCACTGCACGCCCCCAAGATGTTGCATTGCCCCCCCATTGCATTGCACTACCCTGCACGCCCCCACTGCATTGCACTGCACTGTCCCCCATTGCACTACTCTGCACTGCACTGCACACTGTACGCCCCCATGGCACTGCACTGCCCCCCACCACATTGCACTGCACTGCACTGCGCGCCCCCGTTGCACTGCACGTCACTGCGCGCGCCCGGCCCCGCCCGCGCGCCCCACGTGCTCCTACCTGCGGCCCCCCCCGGACCCCCGTGCGCCTTCCCGGGGCCACGTGGGAGCCACCGCCCCCGGCGGTGACGTGTGGCCGCCCCCAGCCAATCGCAGCGAGCCGAGCTGCCGCGCCCACCGCCCTTAGGGCACCGCCGTCGGGGCGGGGAGGGGCCTGTCCTCGCGCGCATGTGCCGGGCTGCGCGGCGGGCGTGGCCTCGCGCGGGGGCTCCGCCCTCCGCCGGCGCGCTGCGTGCGGGGCGCGCTGACGTCGTGCGTGGCGGCGGCGTGTGCGTGACGCAGTTGCCCATGGTAACCCCGGAGCCGCGCAGAGGATGGTGAGTGGGGCCGGCGGGGCCGCCAGGCTCCCCGGTCGCTGATCCCTGATCCCTCTTTCCTGATCTCTGATCCCTGATCCCTGGCACGTCCCGGCCCCGGGCCGGCCCCGCYGCGGGCGCGGCGGGAGGTCGGGCTGACTGCGGCCGGGGGCTCCCAGCCCGGGCCTGGGCCTGGGGGGTTCCAAGGGAGCGGGGCCTGGGCCCCGGAGCCCCCGATCTGAGGCTGTGGGGCTGGAGTCTCCATCAGGAGGCCCAGCGAGATGAGGCAGTGGGGTCTGGGACTTCCAAGACCCTCGTGGGGCTGTGTGAGATGAGGATGCTGGGACAGGGAGAGCCTGGCTGGAGTCCCGGTGGGAGCAGGAGGCCATGGGGCTCCCCAGGGGAGTGGGTGAGGAGATCAGGGCCTGGGAGGCTCGGGGGTGCTGCAGGGAACCTTGCTAGGCTGCGACTGGGCTGCATGGGGTCTAGCTGAGCAAGATGAGGAAAGCTCAAGTGGAGGTTTGGGAGTAGCATGCTCAAATGGGGGACAAGTCCCCGAGAAACAGCTCCGCAGTGGATGCTCAGTCAAGGCAGTGAGAACCTGTGTGAAACGTTGGCTGTTCAGGGCTGTTAGGACTGAGAGCCAGAGGGCTGAGGGGCTGGAAGAGGCCTGGGAGCTGGAGGACATGGACAGCTCCGGCTGCTGAGGGGCTTGGGGAACCCCGTCAGCGTTGGCTGCCTGGCATGTTGTTGGGATTTTGGGTCACCCAGGGGGTTCTGTGTGGGGTTTAGATACTGGTGAGAGAAAGAGAGACCCCATAGGTAAGGAGTGTTGAAGAGGAGAGAGGAATCCAGGGAACATCTGGAATGAAGGGGGTCTTTGCTGTGGCGGATCTAGTCATGGGGAACCAAGGTTAGGGTGAATTTTTATCATGGCATGGAGTGGTGGAAACTTGAGTGTAGGTRTTGGARTAGCTGGGATTGGGGCAAGCAAGATGCTGGCAGAGTCTGGCCGGGATTGGCAGGAAGAGATGGAACTGTCAGGTCAGGGAGCATCAGCAGAAGGGTGAGGAGCAGAGCGCTGTGGTAGCAGGCCATGCTGCAGGCTGAGGATGCAGCGTGTGCGATCAGCACAAGCAGAACGAAAGAACTGAGCCCAAGACGGGGCTTGTATCTTCTCCAGGAGCCCTCTGGACATGGGCTTGATCAGTGCTAGTGGGCAGCTTGGGAGGAGGCATAAATGAGAGCAGCAGAAGCAGCTCCTCATCCTCACTGGATCGRTGCTGCCTCCCCACCTGCTTCAGCCTGCTGGGCCACAGCGAGAGGCTGAGGCAAGGTCTGCAGGCTCTGCTTTATTTTAAATTGGGTGGTGATGGAGCATGTCACACTAGACATTGGAGCCATCACCGGATGGACATCTGCTGTAAAAATGGGGCAGCTGCCTCCTGCAGTGCCGCGCTTTGTGGGACACATTTGGCCTGCAGCTGCTGCTGCCCAAATCAGCTCTTCTGCCTTGTGATGTCCCAGTGAGCTGGTGTGGGCTGGGATCTGACTGCTGCTGTCTGAGTGCGCTTAGCTCGGAGTGGACTGGGTGTTTTCCAGTGCCTCTGTTATATGATATAATTTTTCATGCCTCAGACTATTTTTCATTACTGGGAGTCGTTTTTTTTTTCCACATTGTAGCCTCTCAGACAGGGTGGAAGCACTTCGGGGTGCCAGATGGACTGGCCATGCTGGCCAGAAACCTGGAGAGCTCTGTGTTGCCTCTGAGGATGCTCAGTTTTCACTAAAACCAAAAACGTCCTTAGCAGTAGAAGTTCTGAGACACCAGCGACTATACAAAGCAGCTATGGCAGCCTCGGGCTCTGGCTCAGCAATCAGAAATGATCGAGGCAGCCTGATTTAACAATTTACTGTGTGTCCTCTGAGCTGGGTTAGGTGACCACAATTGTATTTCTGGCATGTGGTGATCATACCAATAAGCAGTTAAACCCCCTTTCGTGCCTGCTTGCTCTGACTCTGGCTAAAGGAGGGTTAATGCTGAGTTTAAACTATTGTAGAGCTCGTCCAAGTGAGCAGGCATGGAAGGGAAGTGCCTTGTTCTGCAGCCCAGAGCAGCCTTCCTCGCAGCTGGGACACGGGGCTGCTGGAGGGTCAGAGGTGGAGCGCGGAGGGAAAGATGAGCCATGAAAATGCAGAGCACGAGGGCACTTAGTGCTGAAGTGTGGAGCTCTGTTCAGCAGCACGTGTGGTGGCCTCACAGCAAGAACCAAGGGAGACTTGAATTGCATGAAAGGAAACAGAGCTTTCAAAAGTTCTGGAAATGCTGTGTGAAGCAGAGCCTGTGGCTTACTTGTCGCTATAATGACAATCTTAGCCCGAAAGTTATTAATAGATATCGGAGCCAAAGCAGCTTCTGTGTTTTTCTAAAACTGTGGGTTGGAGATGACATCATTGTGTCAGCAGGGGGGTTGTCAAAGCCTGACCCCCTTTTACAGATGAGGAAACTGAGTCATGGAGTGTCTCGATTAGGCAGATCTTGTGGGGTGAGTGAAATACCAGCATATCTAAATGTGTGGCCAGGCATCTTTCTTCTGGTCTTGAGCTCATTTTTTTTTCTAGAGAAAATGGCATGTATCTTCTCTTGTACCTGATACCCCAAATTTGTTCCCTTTGTCTTTCTTTTTTTTTTTTTTTAATTGAAAATGGCACAATTTAAAAGCACTTTCAAAACCCTAATAAAGCTTTGCTGCTTTAGTTTCCCAGGACGGTTGCATATCATGAGGCTCTCTTGTTTGTTTGCTTTTGGTGGTTGCTGCAAGGATGGTATGAGAAACTGCACGCAGCTAAGGCCGTGTACCAACAACTGGGCAAGACTTCGAAGCTCCAAAACCACCAGAGGGGAGACAAAGGCTGTCGACACTGTCTGGTGTTGGGTATTAGCTCTTCCCTGTGCAGGACACAGCACCTCCTTGAAATCTGCTAAAACCAGAGGAGTTTGATGTTTTAATTATGGTGGACGATTTGTGCTGGTATTGGTTAGGTTTCCAGAGCAGCGCTGTGCAACCTCTGTGGCAGAAAACTGTGTCAGTAGGTTTGAGCTGGAAAAACTCTATAGGTGACTTGCCTCCATTATATGTTAGATTTCAATGGAGAAAAGAAAGTCTGCATTGAATGACACCATATGGTGGAGACATGCGGCAAGCAAATGATTTTGTTGGGAGTTTTGCCAGAGTAAGAAGTATTGAATAAACTGTACTCAATAGATTAATTTACTTTGGTTGTATTTTGAGAAAGGCTGGGTGATTTTATGACCATTAGTGACATTTGCAGTTCTGCAGCCGAAGATAAAGGTAATCAAACGTCATTCTTCAGGGCAGCAGCTAATCAGTGCAGTTGTCAGGAGGGAGTCCCCTCCTCCATCTCCTGGTGCCTGGAATTGTATGTGGGACTGAGAACATAGCCCCAAATGTTATCTCCCACCGAGGGCTGCATATTAGGCTTAAATAAACCACCTTCCKCACTTCAGCTACTCCTGCATGACTGTGAAACCATCACCTACCTCCTCTTCTGTGTGCTGATGTAACTCGGTATTTAAAAATGAGCTACCACCTTGCTTAACTAAAGAAATTACTGAGCCAGAATGTGCTGCTAGGTGCTCTGCAAACAGGAGATGTGCGGTGGAAATGCGGGCTGCTTGAGGTGAGCAATAGCTGAGTGATGTGGGCAAGGAGAGACCGAGGCGGCTTGAACGTGGCATGTTGGCTGCCTAACCCATCGAGGCCTGCAGGAGAGGAGGAGGAGGAATGAGCCGGAGCATCCCGGGATGGTTTTACAGATACCGTGAGGTTTCTCCCAGGGAAAGGCCCAAAGGGGCTAGTTTGAGGCTGGAGTCAGGGGCAGCAATGGAGCTGGCATCACAAGCCACTCGCAACCAGAGCCATCCTCTCCGTGCGGACAAGCCTGGCTGGGCTGAGGCTGGAGGGTGAAGACGGGAGTCGTGCAGGGGTGGAGGGATGGGGAGAGCTGAGAGGCTGAGCTTTGTGGCTATGCTGCATCTCACAAATATGTGAATTGATTTGATTCTACCTAAATAGCCACATCAACTAGATAAGCAATGGCTGGYCACTGAGGGTGGTTTTATTCTAAATTCATTATCTGAGCTTTGTGGCTAATGAAGTTAAAGAGAAGACATTTACTTCTTTCCTAATAGGAATCTGCCATGCTCTTCAGTGGCTTGTAGGCCCAGCTTTATCCGTGACCTGCATATCCAGCCCTTGGCGCAAGGGGAAATTGTTCTTTCCATTATGGCCTTATATTGCCAATCTGATACAATATTTAAACAGATTATCTCAATGCTCTGTTTGTCCCAAACCAATTTTTGCTTTGGCCTGTAAAGTGAATCTTCCTTTCAGCGGCTTCTGTGGTACAGGATGTAGTTACATGCATCAACTAGTTCAAAAGACCCATAGACAGCATGGATTTAAAGCTGAATAAACCCACAAAACCCTTAGCTAGTACTATAAATGTCACTGTATTTTTATGTATGCGTATTTTTTTTTGAGAGAATAAGATTACTGCATGCAGCTATAACTGAAAGCCATTTGATAATTCAGTGGGTATTTTGAACCTAGCAATGATATACTTTTATAAAACCACACATCCCTGTTTTCTGAAGGATGTTAATAAGACGGTTGGCTTTTCCTTCATGCTCAATGTGTTTGAGTGCTTCTCCCATTTAGTTGCATCTCTGACTTTAATGCCCACTCCAATTTCTTAGTAATTGTCAGGAAACTCTTTTCCTTTTTTGTACGTCCCCGCTCGCTCTCTGGAAAAGGCCGTTTTCTCATTGCTGACCCCATCAGTCTCTTGCCTCATGGTGCTCATAAAGAAACCCCTCTCTGCCAAGGACAAAGAGGTTTTAAAATAAGCCAGTATGATCCGAAACATACAGTTTGCATCATTCAGAGGCGACCAAGAAGCRCTTGCTGCCAGACTGTCCCCAGTCTCAGGCTGCTCTGTGTCCCTGCCCTGCTCCGGTGGCTGTACGCGTTGCCATGCTGTGCTGCTCGTTATCTGAGCAGTGTCTGCAGATGCTGCAGCCTGCATGGTTTTGTGCAYGTGACACGCTGCCCAAGTGGGCTCCCGTGATGTGTTTTGGTGACTCCTCAACCAGGCAACATCTGCACCATCCTGCTCTTCACGCTGGGCACCCATGGGCACTGCCAGGCAGGCTTCCAACCTGAGAATCTGCTCTCTTCCACCTCAGTCTGCTCCCTGTGTCCATGGGCTGGATGCTGCAAAGGCCTCCYCTTCTGTGGATTTTGAGCTTTCTCTTTGCACTGAATCTTCCCATTTTTGTGGCTTCTCTACTGGGCATCTCCCATCAGCATCAAGAGGTCGCTTCCTGACTCTCATGAGCCCAAGCTAGTTTCTGTTGAGTTTGCAAGCGGAGAAGTGCTAGCCCATCCACGTATGTGCCGTGAAGGCTGCTTGTCCCACACAGTGGCATGCAGCAAAACTCAGCTGAGTTACTCTTTTTCCAGTCTGCTCTCAGGAAATATGGTCTATCTTCCTGACTAGTCTGCTCCTAAGAACATTACCAAAGAAATTCATGTTTTAGAAACCATAAAAATATCTCTATGCATAGCTTTCCTTATTCTTAAATATCCACTAACTAGAGGGAGAATGCTGGGTATAAGTTTTAGATTGAAATGTCTACAGAATAGCAACAATTACAGTAGCCCAAACAGTTTGATTCTTGATTTAAGCTGTGCATAGGCCATATAACCTATGCCGGCAGCTACTGAAATAAAGTCCCCTTCTCTCTGTTGGCCTGCTTGTCTTCCACCTTTTAAATCAGCTTACTTTATACCTTAGAGAGTACTTTTATTTCTAAATATATCCTCCCTTCTATTGGCTTCCCCAGATAATCCGGTGATCAGCCGTGCAGCGGTGTCACTTGAGTAGAATATGGAGCGATGCTGATCGCTTTCTCGTGGGCTGTCATGCTAGCCCAGAAATAGCATCCATCTACAATGGGAAAAGCTCTATTAACATTTACAACTATTCCTCTTCCCTGCCCTGGAGAACCGCTCGCTGGTAGATAAGCAAAACTTTGCAATACATTTCCATGCGCTCCGTATTTTGGAGTTGGATCTGAAATATAAAGGGCTCCTAATCCTGATCTGCTCTGGGATATGCTGCTCTGCTCTTAGCTAGTGGTGCTGTGAATAGGATTAGCATTTCGACAACTTCTTTTTTTAACTGTGAGCAATAAACTGAAATAATAGGGCCTGATTTGGAGCTCTCTGAAGTCAGCAGTGGTTTTGGGAAAGAYGGTTGTTGCTGTTGGGTGAGGCCCATAAGAATACAAGAAGGGAGAATTTTGCAGCCTTTCTCTGGAAAAGAGGGAGAGTATGTGAATTCTAGAGAGTTCCTGTTCCTGTGGGGTCTATTCTCACCAAATTTATATCCATGCATTTACAGGCTAACTAAACAACCATAAATTTGGCTGCAGGTGAAAAGAAAATGTTTGTTAATCGTGTAACAAGTTAAAAACTTGTTTTGTTTTTTTAATGATGTCAAGGGCAGTTAGGACATGCATATAAATAGGCAAACATGAGCTGTATTTCTGTCCATGTGCCTTTCCCCTGCCCTCAGGCCTGTGGATGTGTGACCCGTCTCTGAGGCTGGGTATGAGCTGAGCACCGGGGCCGGGGAAATGAGGTGCTGGGTGCTGAGGGGCTGCAGCATTTGGGTGCTGAGGGGCTGCAGTGTTTGGCTGCACCAAACACGGTGCTTCAAATCCATTAAGTGTGGGCCTGTCAGCGAGGGCAGCTGCAAACATCTGTCCCTCGGGGCTCAGCAGGAGATGTTAGAGGCCTGTGCTCTTYACCATGGGGATTTACTGTGCCTGCACCGTGTGGGCAGGACATCCGCGGCCGTGCAGAGCCCATTCCTGATTAGCATCTCTCGAGCTCCGCCTGATTTTCCAGGTTATGTTTATAGCATAACTAATAYAAAGGCAAAAGCCCAAGCAGCAGGGTAAAATTTCAATTCTGTTGTTCTTTGCATGAGCTGTGACTGAACCTCATCTTTCAATGGCTTTCTAAAGCACAGTCACAATTGCAATCATACCTTTCTACAAACATCCTTCCGTCCCTTTTTTAAATAAATTCCTCTTCTCCCCCCAYCTCTGTCACACACGTCACGCACACGTTTTGAGCCGTGCCTGGCAATTAAATGAATAACCGATAAGTGATTTCCAAAGCAGAAGTGCTCGGAGGGCTCGATCACATGTAACTTGCACTTGAATCTCTGTTGTTTTTCCTATTGAAAGCTCTGGTGTCACGATGCACGATGTGGTTTCCAAAATCTCCACCCCRCTGCTGTGCAGAGCTCCAGCGCAAGCAGTCAGAAGCAGCAATTTCTCCAGGCGCTGGTGGGAGGGCCGTGCTGCAAACTGAGGGCCTCTTGCAGCTRTGACAGTTGTCCTGCATCCTGCAGCTCTCCATCTTCGGGACAAGGTTCTGATTGCCATGATCTGGAGGAGATCGGGAACAACCTTCCCGGCTAAATTGTCCTTGGCTCCCAGTAGGAATATTTAGAGTGTGTAGTTGCTTTTAGCGACAAAGCATTTCATGACATTAACTAATTCACCCTTGCAGGGTTAATTGTCTCCATTTTGCAAAAGGGAGAAAGCAAAGCCTGAGAGCTGAGCCGCCGGGGCCCAGGTTTGTGCTGTTGTTTGAACTCTGTTGCTGGCTCTAAGTCTTAGTGGGATGAAAAGAAACTCTTTGATTGCCTTGCAGGACTCATAGTGTTGGGAATCATCCCTTAAGAGACTGAACTGAGATCCTGAGGGCTCCAAAATGCTGAAGACCCTTAGATTTGCCCAGGCTGTTGCTAGTTCTAAGATTGTGTGCGCTTCTGGGCTCCCTAGTATGAGGGACATGGAGCTTCTAKAGAGGGTCCAGTGCAGCGCAACGCAGATGACTAAGGGACTGGAGCAGCTGTCTTATGAGGAAAGACTAAGTGAGCTGGGCCTGTTTAGCCTGGAGAAGAGAAGGTTGAGAGGGGATCTGATCAATATGTATAAATAACCTGAGGGGAGAATGTAAAGAAGATGGGACCAAACTCTTTTTAGTGGTGGCCCGTGGCAGGACAAAGGGTAATGGATATAAATTAAAACACAGGAATTTCCATCTCTTTTTGAGGAAGAACTTCTTTACTGTGAGGGTGATAGAGCCCTGGCACAGGTTGCCCAGGGAGGTTGTGGAGTCTCCTTCTCTGAAGATCTTCCAAACCTTCCTGAATGCCGCCCTGTGCCATGTTCTCCAGATGTCCCTGCTGGAGCAGGGGGGTTGGACTAGATGATCYCTAGAGGTCCCTTCCAACCTCAACCATTCTGTGATTCCCTGTGTTGGGTCTCCAGCGTGGTATGTGCCATACAGATATCCCCAAGGTAGGAGGAGAAGGATGCAGAGCAGTGCTGCAACGTGCCCAAGGACACCCAGGCTGTCACAGACTGCTCCCGTGTCCTCAGCTTGCCAGGCTGGGCAGCAAGACTGAGATTGCAGTGAGGTGCTTTATACTTCTTGGTGATATGCCAGCATCCAGAACGTTTTCCAGGCATTTTGGAGAGGTGCAGGTCTCCACGTGGTGGCCTTGGCAAAGATTTGGGTGTGTGGCTGTAACGTGCACGCTTGTAAATGAGCTGACCTGCATATTCTGTTTCCTAGTCCTGAGTGATACTGTCAGCTCAGAGAGCTGAGCCTGGCTAATGACTAAAATCCACTGTGCTTTTCTTAGCGAGGACGTGTGCTGATCTGAGATAGTTAATGCTGCATCCTGAGAAGCTGAGCTGCACGTGCCCCATGGGTCTGGCGTGTTTGAGACAGATAAATGGGGTTTGAGATGATCAGGGAGTTCCCGTGAAAAGGACTGATGTCAGGTACACAGTAACCTGCAGCTAACTAGGAGGGAGATTAAATTAATGGGGTTTTCCCACTGATAAAGATAATGATGAGCTTGTGAGGATGGGGGTTGCAGCTTCTACGCAGTTGCTATCCTTAGGTGCCGGCTTCCTGGCCAGGGAATGCTGAACAACTGTGTCATGAGTGACACAGSCAGGACATGCCCCAGCAAGCGGCACTTGTGCTTTCTGAGACCTGGYTGATACTGCCTGGGATGAAGGGAAATTAGGGGGAGCAAGTAGCAGAGGAAATGGGAAGAGGGACTCCAGGAAATGGATTAATGGGTCTTGGGGAGCAACCATCATGGAACCCCTGCTGAGGGATGATGGCATCGTGTGCTAGAAAAGGGGAAGTAACAGCTCTGATTTCTCTGGCTGATTTAGGGTTTACTGTCAATCCTGCGTAAACTGAAAAGCACCCCAGACCAGGAGGTGAGAATTCTCCTCTTGGGACTGGATAATGCTGGCAAGACCACGCTCCTGAAGCAGTTGGCATCTGAGGACATCAGTCACATCACACCAACACAGGTGAGAAAGCCCTGCTCAGGGCAGTTCTCGTCATCCCTCTTGCCTTAGAAATTTATATGAAGCACTAATGATTTAGCACAGGGTTTCAGTGAAGTGGGGAGAGCTGGAGCCTGGTGCTCCATGACATCTTGGTGTTGTCTGTGCAGAGGAAGCTCTCCGAAGGAGCAGGAGGGCATCAGGCCAGAGCTGGGGGGTAGTGGGCATGTGGCTGCGYGCCCCCCAGTTCTGCAGGAGGTTCTGAGTCAGGCTGGTGTTCCACAGATGAGACTTTGCTCCTGTTTGGCACGTACAGGGAATGCTGCAACATGTCCCCTCGTGTCTTTCTCCCAGCCAGCTTGGAGGGGCTGGGGAGAAGGCTGTGTCCCGTCTCCGCGGCAGCCTGCCCACGTTCGCCAGAGGAGGTTGCTAGAGAGCTGTGGGAGATGCTGCCCCCGCGCTGGCGCCGCCTCGCAGAGCTGCCGGGCCCCTGGCCCTTGGCTGCTGTGGCAGCACATGTCCAGCCCGCCCCACATGCTGCTTTTCTACTTGAACACCCTTTYGCTTGGTGCTCTGGCTGATGAAATGGACCCTTCAGATGTGCAGCTGCTGCTCTTTTAAGCCCAGCACCAATTGTGTAGTGTCAAATCAAGCCGAGACCTCTGGCTTCTTGTTAGCTGGGACCCTCTACTCGGCTTCCATAAACTCAAGCCTGTTTCTCACAGCACCCTTTTTTTCCCCTCCTTATCTGCAGCTCTCCCACCTCTTCCTGCAGCAACCCTGCTGATCCCTCCCAAATCACTGATTGCATTGTGTGGCTGTGGCCATGACAGTATCAACCCTTGACCCAACAGCATGGGCACAAAAACGACAGGTTGGTGGCTGTGTTCCCTTTGCCAGCACCTCTCCCACAGCCCATCCATCTTTCTGACTGCTCAGCCCATCTTGCTGCACGCTGCAGGCATGAGATATATAAGGTGTTAATATCTGCCCGTGAATGAGATCCAGCCATTCGGGTTTATGCTCTATGTGGCTTTGTTTTTGCTTTTTCTAGGGCTTTAACATCAAAAGTGTACAGTCTCAAGGCTTCAAGCTGAACGTATGGGACATAGGTGGACAGAGGAAGATCAGGCCATATTGGAGGAACTATTTTGAAAACACTGATATTCTTGTGAGTATTGGCTGGGGTTGAATGCTGTGTTCATGCAATGGCTTTCCAAGGTCTCAGCCAGAAGTTCAAGAACAAGTAATGTAATGTCCCAGCCCTCAGCAACACCATTGCCATTGTAACAGGAGTTATTCTGAGTGAAGCTGCAAGATTGGTTGGGTGCAGTAAGAAAAATAGAGTGGTGTTTGGAGAAATTCAGTTGTTTGTTTTTACTTTTACAGGATGGTGGTGGTTACTGCCAGTTCTTTCCCTCTCTTCTCAGTCCCTTTCAAATGGAAGAACGTGAATAACGTGTAGTTTGGCCATCTATAGCTCCTTTCACTGGACACTCTGAGGGCCTGTCATGGGCATTAATGACTTAAACCTCATGTATAGAGAGGCAGGTCAGTATGGAGAAACAGATGCACGGAAGAGTTAAATGTCATGCTTGAGGTCAGAAAACTTCTGACTAAGGGACAGAGAGACCCCTTGTCACTTCCCTTGGTCTTTTAATCACAGAACTCTCCTTTAATGTGTTTTAACATCTTAGCTGCAATTACCTTACAATTAGCTACAGTTATAGTTACGGTGCAGGACCTTAACTTTTCCATGCCAGAGCACGGTAGTCCTGGGACCTTCTGAGTGCTGCCCAGGCTAGTTTCCAAGAGCACCTCTACCATGCAGCATGTGTGCCAGGATGGAGGCAGACAGGGGGGGCTCCAAGAGTCTCTCGCAGACAATACTGCCAGCAGAAGCAGAGAAAAAGCTGTTCCAAGCAAGGTTTGCAGGGCCTCACTATGGGAAAGCAGGAAGCTCTCACTCAGAGATGCCCTCCTCCACAGACATGGATCTGCTCGTGTGTTGGGAATTTCTGTTCATTTCCACAGAAGGATCAGAGCAGCTTGAAATAAGACTCTTTGCTCTAAGGCTTATGTCAAGGTCTTGAAGAGCCAGATTGTACCTGGAGGCTTAGAAAACATTGTCCAAATTGAAGCTGTTATTTAAAAGGGGCTAAGAAGTCCTCAGCTGTCTTCTGTGTGAATCCCACTGTTTTGGAATCTGGTCCTTGAGGAAAACCACAATTGCAAAAACCTGATTTTGCAAAGAATAATGATAAGATCTTCCTAGGAGGAGAAGGGAGAGAGGATTTTTCTTTGTCCTGGCCTTGTCCTGGCAGAGCAGACTTCCCTGCTCCTCTGTGGCAGTCAGCAAGGGGAGTGTGGCATGGCCATGAGGAGCTTGTGCCCATTGAGTCTGAGCCCTCTGTGGCAGGGAGGCACTAGAGAAGAAGATCCAAGCCAACACTGCGAAGCAGCAGCACAGGGATCTTTGCTACATCAGATGCTGAGACTGCAGAGACTGCATCATGAAACTGTAGCTGCTGACAAAGCCAATGAGCTACAGCAATCTGAAGGTCTCCCTTAGCAGGCTTGAAACCACCCTATTCCCAGTGGAGGTGGAGAAATAAAGATGAATTTAAAAACTGAAGGAGATTAAGACAGTTGTGTTCCCTGCCTTCACCCTGCCCCAGCTGGAGTGATGTGCAGAGAAAACCTTTCTTCTCATATGAATAAGAAAACAGATGGAAGAGGAATCAGTTTGGGGGAAGCAGTGGTCTGAATTCAGGAAGGGAGCAACTGGTGCACACGTGGGCTTGAGCTCCCTGGCCCGCATTCCCTGCTGGCCACATGACAGCCAGCCTCAGACTGGGAGCAGTTTGTGTGTTAGCGCAGTGCTTTGCCATGGCTGATATGTTCGTGCACAACAATATAGGGACAGCAGCTCAAATAATGGGATCAAGAATGTGCTGGTGACTCCCTTTCTTTCTGTGCCAGTCCTCCCCCTGTTTTGGACAGTAATTTATGCGTCTCACAAGCCTGGTGCAGGTCATGCCTCTGTAAACTGGTTCAGTTATTATTCCTCATATTTCCTCGTCCAGCCCCCTCTCTTAGCTCCAGGCTTTGTTTTGGCCTCTTGCTCCAATGAGGCAGCCAGCTCGGGGGGAACTGCTTTTGCAAGCTCTCTTCCTCCAACACCGTGTGCTCAATGGCTGTTAAACCAGGGAACAGCCAAACCCTGTTGCCAGAAGCGGCTTTTGAGCGGATCTGGCAATAGAGGGAAGATGGAGATAAGATACGCCCCGGTTCCCAGGACCCCTGCTCTGTCTGCTCCTAAGCTGTATTGCACAGAGAGGAGAGAAGACCGTGTAAAGGGTTTTAAAAAGCAGGAAGTGATTGCAAATTCAAATCCATGCAGGTGCCTTGTGCCTTTGAATGAGAGGCATGCCTTGCATCATACACCTGTGATATTTGGAAGCTCAACCCAGGCAAATAAGGTGTGGGTATTTGGCTGATTGCATATTCAGACAGGCACCTGCAGCTATTTGGCACAGTGCTTTCTGGTTTGGAAGCAGCCACTCCATACATGCTTTACCTTCTCTGTGCTTTTGTGGCTTTTGCCCTGAGCACTGTTGTCTCCAAACCGAATCTTGTGAGGTAGTTCCCTGGCGAGGAGCGGAGTGGTGCAGGAGAAGGCMGTGCTGCCTGTGACTCGGAGCCGCACCGGAATACGGAAGGTAGCGCTTGGCTCTCACGCTGACGTGATGCCTGGGACGCCCGGCAAGAGGACAGTAGCTGGTCCAGGTTAACCCCGAAGCGCAGCTGCCAGCCCTGTGGCTTATTCCTTTCTTTTGGTCTGCACTTCCTACCCCAGTGGGGTAGGGCGGAGGGGATGGGTGCAGCTGATGTGAGAGGTGCCCGTGTCTGAGGTGGCGTGGCAGGGAGAGGCTATGTCGTGCAGCGCCCGTGGGCCTTGCCTCTCAYGGGCCACCAAACACATGCTCCCCTAACGCGTCCCCAGGCAGCTGTGCCGAGCCCTGCTGCTCATCCCCCTGCTCAGCCTCCATCGGTGAGCGCCTCGAGGGGACCACAGACCCCAGGGGATCAGCAAAGAGGCCCGCAAGGTTGCTGGGGCACCTCCTTTTCAGGACAACCATACAGGTCCTCGTGCTCCGTGTTCGGTCCCATTTTAAACAGCTCTAGTCCTGCTCATTAAGAGAGTGCCTACAGTTCAATAGATATTGCTGCTAGAGATCTTCCCTCCCCCTACTCCTTGGTCAAAATTATCTTGGAAGTGTGGAATCTTTTGCAGAGGCTGCCTGCAAGGCTGCCATTTATCTTGATGGCGGGCTGCTGTGCTCATCTATTCCCTGAAAACCAGGCTGACACTTGCTCCCTGTAAGCCACCGGAGAGCATGCAGATGACGTGCTAGCAGCTTCAATCACTGCTGATGGGGAATGGCAGGGACTGGAAGCAAAAGGCTCTGAGTTTGTCACCAGTCCTGTCCCCCTGGCCACTGCCCCAGCATCCTTCTGCTTTAAAAACCCTCTCGTACCCCAGCAATGAAAACAGAGCCCCGGGTGACTTGTGCCTTAGTGTTGTGCTGGGGTTCCCATATCTTTACATGGAGGCTGATGCCCGTGTGCTCTGAGCTGCAGTAGCACTGCTGGGGAAAGGTGGGGCAGCTGGAATTACTAATCACACATCTAGGAGGATCTTTCAGGAGCCTTTCAGCCTGTGCAGACCTAAAACTGCCTCTGCTGGAAAGGCTCCTTTGCATTTGCCCCAAATGGGGGTTCATTACAGTTCATTAGCACATACTGTGCTGCCTAGKGGGGTGGCAGCTTCCTCCCGAAGGGGGCTGCAGGCTGGGGTCCTCTCTTCTGTGCACCAAGGAAGGGGTGGCTCTTTGGGACTCTCTCCTGGGCCGTGGGATGTGGTACCCAGTCCCAGGGGCTGCTCTGCATCCTTAGCCAGCTTTGAGCCAGCTGCTCCCTGTCCCCTCCCAGGTCCTTGTGGAAAAGCTGGCAGCCAAAGACAGCAATTTTACAGGTTGGATCCAGCCCCCTTCCCACACTGCTCAGTCCRGGAGGCAGTGCTAAGATCTCTCGGTGGAGATGAACTCAGTGTTTCCAGTATATTCCCGCCTCCCCGGCCCCTGAGTGCCATCGTGGTTCTTGGTGGCTTCCCAGGAGGGGATGTGTCCTGCTAGAGGGCAGCATGGCCTGGGCACAGAGTGCAGCATGTGGAGACCGCGGCTGCTGGGACAAACGGCCGCGTTTGGCCCCGCGGCTCTGGCCGTGCAGAGGTGGGCTGCAGCCTGGAAACTGGTCAGCTGTGAAGACAGGCTTTGTGCTCGCCAAGTGACAGATGCTGTGGAGGTGGTGAGAGCTTTCCTGGTACTGCCACCAGCTACTTTCTGACCGTGGCCATCCGCTCTCCCTGCCTGTAAAAGTACTAGCTCCTCTCTCTTCGAATATCATGAAGTTTTGTCAACATTTGCTATAAATAATACCCGAGTCTTTGTCCCCAAAGCCTTGTTATTAGGCTCTGCCCATGTAAGCACATGATACTGGGGAAGAAAGTCTCCTGGGGAGGGTAACTTCTCCCCTTGTTTCCTTTTCAGATCTATGTCATTGACAGCGCAGATAGGAAGAGGTTTGAAGAAACGGGTCAGGTAAGTTACTTATGGCCACCTTCCTTTGAAGTAACAGGGGGCCTCTGAGTGCCCCCTGCACACCAAAGTTAGGAAGCTGCTTTTATTGTTTATGAGGGAAATTTGCATTTCAAGAGAGACTTGCTTTTCAACATCAATGCAGATTATTTTGGTAGATGTGAAGCAAGGAAAATAGGTAGCCTAATTTCGCTTAAATAGCACGGTTTTCATTAAAATTATACAGGAATAGCAGATGGGGCCTAAGACAGAAAGCAAGAACTTTTGTAAGTCCTTTAAACCTTGCCAAACCAAGACTCTGAGGAATCCTGTTTTCTTATTTACAAAGTTGGAATGGAAATCATATTGACTTGATTGTCTTTTGGATGTAATTGAGAAAACAAAATAAAACAAAACAAAAAAAACCTTAGTAACTAGGACTGGCCAGGAAAAATAAGCTTTCCATTTTGCGAAGTCTTGATGTTTTATAACATTTTGTATTTTAGGATAGAACAAAAATAGGACTTTTGACTTTTCTGTTGTAAAATTCAGAAAGTGACAGTGTCCCAAAATAACCAACAGCRGGATTTATCCCCCAGAAATGGGAGACTTGAGTTAAAGGTTAAAGGCCTCTAAGCAGCCTCTTTTGAAGGAGGCACTTGCTCTTTTGTCTCAAGTCCTGTGGAAACAGCCTAACAGCAGGACTGTGGGTTGTTCTTGGGATGTGGGGCCAGAATCTCTCTCCTGTCGGATCTGTTTCACTTCGTATCAGTAATTAAATATACATTGGAGAGGAAGCAGAAGCTGCAGAGCTCGCCTCAATCAGGCGGAGTCAGCCTGGACCCCTCACGTTTCCGCAAACAGTTTTGGTTTCAGTAAATCAGCCATGTCAGATGAAAGACCTATTTTGCTGAAACATTCCCAGCCAACTCTGTTTATAACTCCATTCTCTCATTCTGGTTTCCAAACCAAACATTGCTTTTGGGGGGAAGGGAGTCAGATTTCCGCTGCAGTTCAGCATCTCCCCGACTGCATTCATAGAATACAAGTTTTTTAGTCAGTGCTAGAAAGATGTTAGGACAGTACAGAGAGTGCAAAATCCTAAACAAGGAGCCCACAAAAATCTCATTTACTCATCAGTCCACAATGCCAGCAGTCCCTACAGGTTCAAATTCTGCTGGGTTTGCCATATGGCCACATAGGGAAGTGACTTAAGGGGCCGTGTGCTTGTTTCTCATGACACCATTGCACAATCCTGGATATGAAGCATTACAGCCATCGTTGATCTACTGCAGAGTCAGATTTGAGCTATTAAGACTGAGTCACCCACTTTTGAATGAACTAACCCATTTCTTAAGATGCCACCCAATGTGTGCTGTGCACACAGAGCCAAAATCACCCAGTAAAACTGATTTAGCTTGTCTTTGGCTAGCCAATGCCCTCAGCTGCATCAGTGCTTTCTTGTGGAAGGGATTCCATTTCTGGTGGGGGGAAAAAAAAACCTTCTCCTGCTCAAATTGCTGTTTATAAAACTCAGAACAAAACTCTGAAACTCTCTATTAGCAAAGATACCAAGTGTGGTTGTCAGCGACAGCTCGGGTACAAATGCCAGTCAGGCGATAACTTAAGACAGGTTCCTCACGCTGCCAATTTACATCGTTTTTGCTGTTTCATCAATTTTGGTCTCCAGGGAGCAGGGACTGGTAAAACACAGAGTTGTAGCCTGTAAGGCAACTGCTAATTTCAGACTAAGATGAAGATTTTTGTAACCTGTAATTGGAAGAAATCACATTTGAACCTTGGGCACAGATGATTGTATACTTTTTTGCTCTCTTATAATAAGATCTAGGTTTCACTGGAAACAGTCTTCCAGTATTTGCCCTAAATATATTTCTAATTAGAGACAACCACTGGCGGTTGAAGGTTTTCTTCCTTTCCATCTCTCCCTTTTCTTCCCCCCATCTCCCTTGTAAACGATATAGGAGCTGGCTGAGCTTTTGGATGAAGAGAAGCTCAGTGGAGTCCCCGTGCTCATATTTGCTAACAAGCAGGATTTGCTGACGGCCGCCCCTGCTTCGGAGATTGCCGAGGGCCTGAACCTCCACACGATCCGTGACAGAGTCTGGCAGATCCAGTCCTGCTCGGCACTTTCGGGAGAGGGGGTCCAGGTGAGCTCTGGAGACGAGTGCCCAGCTGCGAGGTAGCAGGGGGGGCTGATCCACACAGTGGGGTGACCCACAGGTTTGGCACTTGCCCATCCTCRCTGCTGCGAAGGGGACGGGGGGCGGCAGGCCTTCAGGATCGCTGCTTCTCCGGGAAAGGGGAGAGCTGCCACTGATTCACCTCCCCACCCCGAATCCCCTGGTCAGGCCAGATGAAGACATTGATTTGTTTTAAAGAGACTGCTGTCAGGTTAATCATTTTCACAAAACAAATYGCCTTTTACTATTAACCCCTTTGACTGCTACAAGTGTGCACTTTAGAAATCTGATTTACCTCCACTGCTAATGTCATTTGGCATTTTGCTCGGCTCAGGCGCCAGAGAGAAACCGATCAATTTCTGTGACCCAGAGAAACACCAGATCCACACGGGTGGCACGAGACCAYGTCCGAGGGCCACATTTGGGGCTGCAGGTCCCCGCCGAGGGGCTGAGCTGTGTGCCTGCCCTCAGCAGAAATCGCTGTCTGTGCTCCTGTGCTGTAGCCGGCTCCTGCAGCACAGTAGCTCTTTGTAATGTAAATGGGCCCTAGGTTTGTTTATTTCACGTTTAGGCTTTCCTGCATTAATGAAATATTTGCAGCGCTTGCGGTCCCAGCAGTCAGAGCTCCCTTTGCTGATATTTAAAGAAAGAGGATCGTGAAGGCATTTACCCCGCTGCAGGTTCTCCCAAACCTTGTTTGCAGATGCCACAGGGCTGCTCAGCGCCRTCACATCTCGGGCGGTGTGTGAGGAATTGCAGGAGCAGCTCATGATACTGAGTGGGCAGTAAAATGGCAGATGAAATTTAATGTTGACAAGTGCAAAATAGTGCACATGAGGAACAACCCTAACTATGCACGTACGGCGAGGGACTCAAAATTAGCTGCCATTATTCAGAGAGCAGATCATTGGGAACAGAAGTTCTTAGTGCTCAGCAGAGATCAAAAAAGCCAATCAGTGTTGGAGAATTATTAGAAAGGGAATGAGCAGCATCCCAGAAAGCACTTATGTCACAAGACAAAGACGTGGTGGATTCCACAGGGACCCACGCCTTGAACATGGCACTTGTTTTTTGTCCCTGCTTTCGTCTATAAAGATTCCAGTAGAGGTAGAATCACGGTCTCCGACARTAACTTAGGTTGAAGGGTGCTCTGGAGATCTCTAATCTAGCATCTTGCTTAAGGCAGGGATAGCCAGAAATCTGTAGGGTCTTGTCCAGTCAAGTTATAACCATCTTCAAGGACAGAGATTTCCCAGCCTCTTTAGGTAACCTCTTCCAGTGCTTAACCACCCTTATGCTGAAAAATGTTGTCCTTATCTACTCAGAAATAGGAGAAATTTCTGGATYCTCTGTCAAGAATGATCATCTGTACCGAGTGGCATCTGTGCACAGGGAGGATAAATAGAATAAGACTTGCAGTTTGGAAGGAGAGAACAGAGAGTGGGAGCATCTTCAGGGTTTATAAAGTAATGTACAAAAAAGGCAAATAGACGATGTGCTATTTTTCACATTGCTAGAGGAAGAGGATTCCTTGTGAAATAATCAGGCAACGATTTTAAAAGATATAAAAAGCTGTGTTGTTTGCCAACTGCATAGTCAAACTGCGGCTTTCTTTGGCATGTGATGTTGTGGAGACCAAAGGTATCAATGGTTCAGAGAAGGATTAGGGAAATTTCTGAAGAAGACATCCTCAGGCAACCACTATCCTGCAAGATGTGGAGGCAGCTTTTGAGCAGGGCATAACCAAGCCGTGGACTGGGAGGAAGAGCAGAGGAAGGGAGGCCCTTTCTCATACAGCCCCTTGCACGTAGTCTTTTGGCATCTAGAAAAGGGATGCTGGCCTGGAGAGACTGAACCAGTAGAGCAGTTTTTATGTTTTAAAATTATTAACCTAACATTCAGACCTATGCRTAGCAGATGGTGTCCCTCAAAGGGCCTTTATTTAAGACACAAATTCAGCTGTGTTGCAACCAACTTCGTGAGAGGCTTCCACTCTGTATTCTCTATTTTGAAGTGGTGCTGTTAGAAGGAAATACATTCCACAACTGTAGTGTATATTCAAGTGCAAAATCCTCCCAGAGAAATGTGGCTGAGACCAAGAAGGCAACATTGCAGGTCGCATGGATGCAGGCAGGCTCGGGTCACCTTCTACCCTCCTGCCCACCCTCCCCTACCTTACGCAAGCCCAGATTAGCTCTTCAGCTGTGAAAGGACAATAAAAGAACAGATGAAATTGAGGGAGCTGCGTTGGATGTGGAAGAATTAAATGATTGAAAATAGCACGTTTTGTTGATGAGCTTTGGAAAAATGCCTCCTTCTGAAGCTCACCTAGAGGCTCTGTAGAATGGCCTAGCCCAATTCCTTGCTCTTGCTCCTTCTTTGTGCCTGCTCCTTGATGAACAGTGTCTGTATACATTTAAGAGTAAAATATATAGCCTGATACCTTCTACCGGGAAAATGAAATTCCTGCACTTATCTCAGAAAATAGAAGGTAAGAGCTAAACTGTTCAAGTTTGTGCAGCCCTATGTGTTTTATTCATCATGCTAATCTAGAGGAATTAATTTAGATGCAGGCCAGATTATACTCCGCTTTGTTGTCTCCAGTCCCATTGCCCTAAATATTGCAGCTYATTCCGTAACTGATGATTGCAGACAGGTCAGGGAAGCATCAAACTCTGCAGCTTGTAGAAAAAGCTGAGAGTTTCTCTCCTCTTGTAACTCCAGCACGGTCAGTTCAGATGGCACAGGATCATCCATGGCACAGACCAGCACAGGAAGAAGTGGTGTCTTCATCCCTAAGGATCTGGGGCGAGGTCAACGTGCTTGATTTAGGGATATCAAAGAAGCACTTGTTCCAGGTGTGAGATTAAGATGGTTTTGAGGAACATGGTACCCTGTCTGTACACCAAGGGGCTCCAAAGGGAGCTTGCTCTGTAGTTAARTCTCAGGTCACTGATTTAAGGACTTTTTTTGAGAAATGACACTGAGTGACAGAAAAATAACTGAAGATGTGGAAGCATCAGGTATTCAGAATGAAAGCCAAGGAGCGAGCAAGCTCACCGTCGCTGCTGATGGAATATATTAGCTGGAGTAAAAGTGTAGATATCCCTGATGGATTTTGCAAGGAAAAGGGGTGACATATCTAGAACTGAGCAGATGCAGGAACAGAGTTTGTAGGAGAAGATTTTTGTGATAGCTCCAAGGAAGAGCAATGTGCAAAGATAAATAATGCCAATAAATGAAGGAGAAAKAGTTTGAAGGTCATTTAATTAGTTTAGCTGCTAGCACCATGGTGTATAGAATTGGGTAGTTAAGACTGGGGATTTCAAGGTTAATGAGATTAGATTATGGATAATAGAATGATATAAATTTAGAGAATTTAACTATTATTTGAAATGGGTTATTTAATAAAACTGTTAATTAAGGAGGGAATCCATATTATCATCTCCTCTTTTAAAATTAACTGTTGGGGCTCTGGTGAAGGGTCCCAGCAAGGTCCTGGGCAGGCTCAGAAGAGAGGTGGTGACTGGGATAGCCGGAACCCCACTGCATCCTCAGGCAGCTGGCTGGATCCCACGAGCTCCGCCTGGAAACCCGGTCACCTCCTGGCTGGACCCGGGGCCGGCTCTGGTTCTGTTAACCAGCCTTCACGGTGCTGTTGAGAGGAGCAATGCCCCCAAGCTTGGAGGCTGTTCGAAGCCAGCTCTTGGCCTGGCTCTGGTGTTATCCGTGAGAGCCGGTTTGCAAAGCAGGAAACTCCTTTTCTGCCCGGCACAGCCGTGCGGACTCTGCCTCTGGAGCGGGAATGCTGCTCCAGCTCTGTGGCGAACCTCGCGTGCAGGGGAGGCGATTGCCAACTGCGACAGCAAGAGAAGCACAGGGGAGCTGGTGCCTCACAGCAACTCTTGGTYGCCACATAGGCAACCTCTTGGCATTGCATTTTGTGCCAGCTGCAGTGCTTGGGCAGGCAGAAGCTGCACAGGCCGGCCCTGGGTGGGGTGAAAGCAGGCAGGACTGCTCTGCTTTCTGCCTGCCCTCTCRCTGGGGGTGATCTGCAGGGGCCAGGGCACGCATTAAACACGACTGGGCGCTCTGGACCTGTCGCCGTGCTCTGTGCTCTGCAGCTCGCTGCTCGTTTGAAGCGAGAGGCCCAGCTGGAGCTCAGCCCGCCGCCAGGAATCGCCCTGCCGAGCGACGATTGTGCCCGGAGTCTCCCAAGCGTAACCGGCCCCTGGAGACCACTAAAAGCCAGGGGGAATGAGAGTAGCCACTAAACTTCCCTAATTTATGCCAGGCTAGTCAGGCCCAAAGGACTCTTTGAAGGGCTGAGCCGCTTTCCTCTGCTTTGCTGTTTCAGCCCAGCTGAGAATGGAGCCTGAGCCCTCACTGTGCTGATGCTGCAATCCCAAATCTCCATCAGGGCAGGAGCAGAGCAGCCCCCCAAGAATCTTGTGTGCTCTGTCCCCAGGGCTTGGCTTCCTCCTAAAGGTGGTTGAACCAGGGCAGGCTGGATGGGGATCTTCCACTTTTTAACAAGGTTTTGTGGCTACCTGTAAATGTGATTTAAAACCGGTTTTGCTGACTGCAGCTCTCCTGAGGCAGGCAGAGCTAGCGCTTGCTGAGAAAACTAACTGTGTTCCCAAAGTGGAGGGCGAAATCTTGTGGGTTTTAAGCAGGTAAGAAAGGGGGGTGCAATGCAGCATCAGGGATACAAGCTCTCAGAGGACGGGAGAAAAATTTGCACCTAGGGAAAAAAGAAAAAGCAGTGGATGCTTCAGCAGGAGCCTGAAAAAGCCTGCGTGTCTGACGACTGGATGTGCAAATAAATGAAGGATAATGAAGGCAAAGTCCTAGGTTTGCAGAGGAGAAAGAAAGTGACAGTTAAAATAACATGCGCCAAAAATGCTGGAGTTGGGGAATTTTGCACTTGCCTGACCCAATTTGTTGTGTTAGACGGAGGATTACATGAAAGGATTAAGCTTTGCTGTCCTTAAGGTCGCGCCGGGGGTCACAAGTTTGTGGCCTTGCCTGATCCCTGGCTTGCAGGGGGCAGAAAGCGGGAGGCTTTTTGTGGGGCGGAAGGGACTGATTTGAAGCCGGGCTGCTTTGCTCCCGTAGAGCTGATAAGGCAGGGAGCGAGTGGAGCTCCTAATTCCAGAGGGACTTGGGGCTTCCCGCGCAGAGCATTGGAGCAGCCCTGCTCTGCAAGGGGCACTGCCCTGCCTTGGGGCGCTCTCCCTTTGCCCCCTTAAGTTCACTAGCTGCTCCCCAAGGAGCTGGGGACGCCACCTCGGGAGGATCTGGAATTTTTCCCTAAGTTTTCCCCATGGTGACTTGAGGCTGGAATACTAATATTGCATCCGCCTCCATGTGTGGAATACCTGCCACTGTGTCTGTGTCTCAGCAAAGCAGCACAAGGGCATCCATCAAATCCCGACGTTCCTGTAGGGATTGGGCTTTCTGCGCCGAGCCATCCTTTAAACATGCAGACCTAGGGGCAGAGTGTGTAGGGATAAAGGATGACACTGGCTGCTCCTTGAGGACGAGCTCCTTCAAGCTTCATTTCTCCTCTTCCCCCTGGGCCTCCCCTGTAGCAGCTTGTTCTGCTTGGAGCAGCTTCCCTGGATTTTTCTGTCTTGCCAGCCCTCTGTCCCGTTTCCATAGGTGGCAAAACTTGGGGCGTCTCTTTGAGTTTCCCTCATTCCCTTGCATTCCTCATTCCTCCTGCCAAGCGCTCTCCCCCTGGAAGCTGGGGATGCGGCTGTAAGTGAGGAAGCTGTCGCGCACACCCCGCTCCGATGCATCCAGCACACAGCTGGGCACGTTCCTTTTCTCTTCATCATCATCACGGAGCTGGATATTTACAATTAAATACGATTTTCCTGGCAATTACCTCATGCCACTAAAATCCCTTCCTGCTTTAAAACTTCGGTGACCTACTTATGTATTTCGAGCCTGTTTGGGCTCACCTTTCCTTCTGCGTTTCGCAGTGTCATTCTTTCGCCCTCGCTACGTGCTGCATGCAGCCAGGCTCCAAGCCGTGCTCCATCCCATCCCATCCCATCCCATCCCATCCCATCCCGTGCTTTATGGCCCTCCTTCCCCTCCCTGAGCTCCCTCATGGCAGCAGGCAGAGCTTTAATCACCTCAAATTCAGGTTGTGGTCAGATTAGGGAGAAGATAGGATGCTTGTTTGTTGTTTCGCAGGGATGTATTGTTTCTGGGATTACTGTGCTGAATAGCAGAGGGCGTCAGCTGATATTTATTACTTTAAGCTGTCTCAGCTGTTCTGGTTCAGCAAATAAACCTACATTCAAAATGAATGAGGAGCGCTGCTTGCCTTGTATGCCACGATGTGTGCAAATGGGCTTATTGCTGCCGAGGCAGGGGAAGCTGGGATCCTGGTGGGAGCTTTTTCCCTTATTTATTGATTTCCCCTCTCTGCGAGCCCGTCTCTAAAGCAGGTGATCCCGCCAAAACCTCGGCTCCTCTCCCGGCCCTGTGTCCTGCACGCTGGGAATTGCCCGCTCCCTCCCTTTCCAAAGGGATAAGCTCCAAACCACGCTCTGGATGGCTTAAGGCATTACATGTTTTACACCTAGGTTATCAGTGTTATTGAAAGGGGAAGCCACAGAGCTACCAAGCCTTCAAATGAATCTACCTCTCATCTTTTCCCATTTGCTCTGAGGATTTCAGACAATTTGTTTTACACTGATCTCTGCCGTGGAGATAAATAAATGAAACTGGAGACAGGAGCCCTCCCCAAGGTTAGATTTAGAAGTGTTATTAGTAGAGGGCCTCCTGTGTGCCCTGATACAAGCTGGGCTCACGTATTCTTTATTTAACACGGCAGCAAAGGGCCGATTCCAGAAGCCGATTCCTTCGGATAAGAGGTGTCACCCTGTCCGCTTGGACGGGGTCCCACGGCCTCCCTGTCCCCCCAGCAGAGCTGCCCCGTGCCAGGGCGCCCCGGAGCGAGCCTGGCCCCAGGTCGCTGCTCTGCTCCAGGGCTGCACTGTCATGCAGTAATAATAATAATAATAATAGAGAGATCATTAAGTGTGACGCGGTGGAATCACCCTGCAGAGCCGCAGGGCGACTTCTGGCCAGCTCCAAAGCAGGAAGGTGGGTGGCTGCCCTCTCCTTGCCAAAACCTCTCCTGGCCTTCCCTCTGCCCCGAGCATCCCTGTCCGTGCAGACGGGCGGGATTTGGAGCAGGGGATTTGACAGGACAGGAGCGCGAGCAGCCCGTGTATCCTGCAGCCCATTTGTGTGTCGCTCAAGAGAGAAGTGACGGGAGCAGCCGAAGAGCTGCCTTGCCCTCCCGTAGGAGCATATCCCATCCTGGATGCCAGCAGGGAACCCACGGCTCGCTCCTCCGCAGTGGAAGGGTTACTGTGCTGCCTGCAGGGACGCAGATGCTGCTCCCTGTTTGTACAGAAATACCCCAGAGAGCCTCTTAAAACTCGAGCACCTCTGCCCTTGTGAAACAGGCCCGTTGGCGGGCCCGTTTCCTGGGATGGCCCCAGGCGCAGGAACCACAGTCCGGGTTGAGCGATCGCGGTGGGTTTGGGGGTCAGAGCTGCTCTGACCAGGCTCACACCGGCCCTTGCAGCAGGACAGAGACTTGGAGCCCCCTTCCCAACCGGGCGCTCACCCCTCGCCAAGGGTCCCCGCATCCCCGGGCTCGAAGACAGGGGCCTTGCCCGAGATTTCCCACACGATCCGTAGCCAAAGCTGGAACTGGGCACAAGTCAACAGCTCCTTCCTCAAAGGACCCCAGTCCTGCAACAGGCCAGAACAACGACGCTTTTTATGGCTGCAAGAAGGGTTTAATGACCTCTCCGCGATAACATCCGCTGAGCAACAAAACACCTGTTTTTTACCCAAAGTTTTGGGGCTCAAATGGCCGCTGTGGGGCAGGTGGGGAGGCAGGGCATGGAGCCTGCACAACGGCGCTCGCGTGGGGCCGGGGAATTGCTCCTTGCTTTGCTGGACTAACCTTCCCTTTTTCTGTCTGAAGGACGGCATGAACTGGGTGTGCAAAAATGTCAATGCAAAGAAGAAATAAAGCGCTCTGAGCTGCATGGAAATGGAGGAGCGGTGGGAGCAGAATTCTAGCCTGAAAACACTAATTTGCTGCTTTCTGACCAAATGTTTTTCCATCTGTGCACAGCTACAGCTGTTAAAAGAAAAAAAAAAAGAGAGAAAAAGAAAGGGAACAACATCAGTTAAAACCTACTGCTGGATTTGGAACTTGACCTGCTCTTTAGTACCATTTTTTATCCCAATAAAGGAATTATATATTTCCTCCCTACGCATAAATAGTATTAAACATCTGAGCAGCAGGGCAGGTTGTAAGCAGGAGCAGGAGCAGGGGGAGCGGGAGCCCCTGCCCTCGCTTAGACCCGCGTTAGAGCTTGCCCTGGCCCTGTGGGCTTGCGGTCGCTGAGGCCGCTCTCAGTCCCAGATTCCCCCCAGTGACGGATAAAACGCCAGTTGGTTCCCAATTGTGAGTAGTTTCTTTTTAAAAAAAAAAAAAGGCTGCTAAGAAGCCATTTGTGTAAGGAGGGTAGGAGGCTTCCACACATTCCTGTAGCCATAAAAGAGGAGTTTGATCCTAACGAGACGCTGTTGCATTGCGACGCCGCTGTAGGAGGAAGAGGAGGGTTGTGTGTGTGTAACTGAAGCTCTTTACAACGGGAGCAGTGCAGGATGAGCAGGATGAGCTGCCCAGGGCTCTTCCCGCAGCTGAAGGAGAATTGAGCCCAGCGTTTCACCTTGAGCCGGCAAAAACGTGGATCCTCTGTTCAGTAAAGCTCCATGTGTGAGATCAGCCTCGCTGCCGAACACTCCCCGTTGATTTTCCCTTGGTGTTAAGGCAGCTCTGCAGCAAAACGCAATTAAGCTCATGATTACTTTCCACAATGAGATGCCAGGTCCCAGGTTTCCTTTTCCAAAAGTGCTGAATCACCCCCCATCCGCAGGGCCTGGGGGCGCGGGGCGGCCCTGGCTCCCTTGTTGCCCCCACGCAGGGTTAGGGGCCTGGGCACGTGTAGGAAACGCTCTCCAACGTGGGATCCACCTTGTCCCGAGCGGGCTCTGCCCCAAAGGGACGGAGCTGGAGCCGGGCGGCGCGTCCTGCAGCGCGTGGCCGTGCCCACGGAGCCGCCCGGGCGCCCGTGCTGCTGTTCCCGTCATGGGCACCCAGCACGTTGCTGCCCCTGCTATGGGTGCCCGGCCCCCCGGCGCGTTGGCGCTCCGGCCGCGGCGCTCAGCTCTCCCTGCCCCGGGACAGCTGGGGCAGCAGCTGGCCCCAAGCTGCCCGTGAGTCAGCGCCGCAGCCCTGCAGGGTCCCCCCGCGCACGTCGGGGAACGCGGGCGCACGGCAGAAACCGGGAGACTGGGAGGGGAAGGGGACAGGCGAAGCAGGCTCAGGCGGCCTGTCCCTGCTCCGAGAGCGGAGCCGGGTGCTCCGGGCCTCGCAGCGAGGGCTGCGGCCGGGCGCCCCTCCGCGCTGCCCGTTGCGGAGCTCGCCCTGCGCTGGCCGGCCCTGTCGCCGTCAGCTCCTGCAGCCACGAAGCAGCCGGGGGAGTGATTGGTATTTTTTTTTAGACCCACATTATTTAAAATTGGAAATGTGTGTAAAAAACACCTGGGATAAATTCCCTATAGCTCCAATTTGGAGAGAGAAGCTGCCTTCCTGAACTGAGGATCCAAGCGTTTGCTGGCTCGCTCTCCGTGCGCAGCTGCCCATGTTGGTTGCTCGTGTCCGCGCTGCCCCCGCCGAGCTTCGCCCCACATCCCTCCTGATCCCGGCAGCGCCAGCCTGGAGCTCCGCGGCCGAGGAGACGCGTCCCATCCCGTGTGTCCAGCCAGGGATGGACCGCCAGCCTGGGAGCCCGCAGTTCCAGTGGGGCGGCCCTGCCTGCTCCGAGCGGGAGCGGGGGTGCCGAGCGGCCCGTGCGGGGGTCCGCACGCTCCTGGGCCCGATTCCCCTGCTTTTAAAAGCCACAAGGGCCCCTACGCTGCCTCTCCTGACCCCCTTAAATCCCCCCGCGTGGGGCCTGGCGGTCGGCACCTCCAGTGGGAAGATGCCCGGCCTGGAATTAAAGGCTCTCTGTGACAGATAAATCCACCCGCGGCCTTGGGGAGTTTGTTGCAGGGGTTAATTCCCTCCCCAAGGAGACCTCGCTTCGCTGTCGCGTCATTAACTCTGTGTCTCCCCCTGTGCGAGGTTCAAGCTCCCTGTGCTGCCCATTCCCACACTGGTACGGAGGGCTGGAATCTCCCAGGGATCCGGCCCCGTGGCCCTGGGCGAGCGCCGGGCAGGGCCCCGCGCGTCGCTCCCCGCTGCTCCCGGCACTGCCCTCCCGGATCCCTGCGGCGCCCGGTCCCTCCGCTCCGGCGGGATGAGCGCGGCCGCTCCCTTCCCGCCGGCCGCTGCTTCCGCCGCCGCCCTTCCCTCTGCCGCCCGCGCGTGCCCCTCGCGGCGCGCGCCTGGCCCTGTTGCTGCTCAGTGTCACCACTTAGATGTCTCTGTCAATAAATAAATAAATAAAGACCAATTTAGTAGAAAGACAGCGCTGTGTTCTGGGGTGGTTCTTGCTTCCGCAGCCCCTCCAAGCCCCGCTGTCCACGGAGCTCCTGGTTGGGCCGACCTGGCTCTCCGCTTCTTCCCTCCGGTGTCACCAGCAAAGGGCGACATCGACGGCAGCAGGACCAGTCCCAAGTTACTCCTAGAGCAGGAGGCCAGAAAGACAAACTGGGAGCCTCCAGTGGCTCCAGAATGGGCTTCATGGGGTGACAGGAAGCATCTCAGGAACACGGGCCCTCGGAGCCGGCGGCAGCGCTGGGTGGGCAAGAGCAGAGCAGGGAGTGACTGGGCTTGGGTTCAGGGAAACCACGTTGGAGCGGGAGCACCCGCATGGGGATAGGGAGAGAGAGAGGGATAAGGATATGGATAGAGGTGGGATTAGGGATGGGAATGGGGGTAGGGATGGGAACGTGGCTGGGGATGGGGATAGAGATGGGAGTGGTGATAGGGATAGGGATGGGGATATGGATGGGGATAGGGAGAGGAATGGGGGTAGGGATATGGATGGGGATGGGGAAGAGAGATGGGGATAAGGATACGGATGAGGATAGGGAGGAGAGATGGGGATGGGGATAAGGGTAAGGATGGACACGGGCAGCCCTGCCAGCCCCGCGGAGCCGGAGCCAGAGCCGGAGCCGGAGCCGGGCGGGAGCGTCGGAGCTGCTGAATCAGGCGCATTGAGGCGGCGCAGCTGGTGCGGGCTGGGCGGGGAGGGGGCCGCAGTTGCTCCTGGCGCTTCTGCCTCTGAATGTGAAGATCCCCCCCTTCCCCATTAGCGCTGATCCCTCTGCCTCCGAAACAGTTGGCCCTAATGAACATACGGCCCAACAGCTGTAAGCGGTTATACATATGCATGGATATATATATTTATCCCCCCCCAGTATATACTGGAGCTCACAGCTGTTGCTATTCTTCCTGGCGATGCAGATCAGACGCTCGCTCTCTTTGGAGTCTTACTTGACCTATTTTGCAGGCGCAAGATTTTTTGTGATGATGATTTCCCCAGTTGGGGCTTTTGATGCCGCCTGAAACATCTTGATTGAAGGCGGAACAATGGCAGCCCCGCAGCCGGCAGCTCCCCGCGCCGCAGCCGGCACCGCCGGCACCATCGGCACGGCCGGCACGGCCGGCACCGCCGCGGGCGCCCCGAGGAGCCGCTGCCGCCCCACGGCCGCTCGCGCTCGAGGCCGCCGTTTCCCTGGCGTTTGCCGCCTTTTCCCTTTCCCGTGTCCTGCCTCTCGGTTGTTTCTAGGGCAACGGGGATGTCCAGCTCCGGCCCGGGAATGTGGCAGGCGGGCACGGGGCCGTTTGCCGGGCGCGGGGCTGTTTGCCGGGAGGGAACCGGCACCCGCTTCCCGAGGTGGCCGCGGAGCTGAGGAGCCTCCTCCCAGATCCCATTGAGCCCTTGGGCCGCAGCCTCCCCGCGCCCATCGCGGCCCCCTGGGGCTTCCAGGGCTGCGGAGGGAGCGACACTCCCGGCTTTGAGCGCGGGGCACTTCCCATCCCGCCGCGGCCGTTCCCACAGCTGCTCCCGCGGGCCCGGCCCCGCTACAAGGGGGGCTTGGGTGGCAAAGGGGAGCCCTGGGGGGCGTTTGCAGCGACCTCCCCCCCCCCGGAACCCCCAGGGCCCCTGCGGAGGGGGAGCTGCCGCCCCACAGCCGGCACAAGCGCCCGGAGCCACGTTGGGCATCCTGCTCCGCCGCGCGCGCGTCCCGCTCCAGATGCTCCCATCCCCTCGGAACGTCTGGGACTACCACGATTTTCCCTTTTCCCTCCCGCCGTGGGACTCGTTTCCCTCCGGCTCCTCATCCCTCTCTCCGCTGCCAGCTCAAGCTGTTTATGGAGCCACTGATCCCCCCATCTCCCGGACAATTCCCGCTGGATGCAGCCCAATCCCCCGGCCGATCCTGGCGGCCGCAGCCCCGCGCGGCGCCCGCCTGGTGCCGGGGCCAGGGGCCGTGCGTGTCCCCTCCCGGCCACCGGGCAACAGGTGCCCTAATGCGGCCGGCAGCTGCGGGAGGCAGCTGCGGAGGAGGAGGAGGAGGAGGAAGGACAACTGTGAGCCCACATCCCGAACCAGGGGGAGCGGGAAGCAAAGCCCTGAATATCCCGCAGGGTTGGACACTGCCTGAGGTGTCCGAGTGCGCCCACTTCCAGAGGCTGCCACCTCCACCGGGATCAGGTCTGGATCCCTCCTCCCCGGACCCTTACATCTTCCCATGTCTCTCCCAGTGATCCCTGTGTCCTTCCCGCTTTCCCCCAAGGAAACCACAGGGCGACGAGAAACGGTGGGGAGGAACGGAATGAAACCAACACCACTTCAGCACCAAAAATGCCCCAAGGATCCCATACCTGGAAAAATAAAGGACGGAAAACACCTAAATCCCTCAAAGGCTGCTGCTTCCCGAACGGGCCGTGACCTCCCGCAAAGGGGCCGGCCGGGCTCCCCACGGGCTCCCCGGCCCCTCTCCTGCAGCCCGGCCGGGGGGCGCCCCGAGCGGGGCCCCGGCCCAGGAAGGAGCCTCTGGGGGCTCGGAGCATCCCCAGCCCCACGGACACCCCCTCGCTGGGTGCCCGAGCCCGGCGCGGCCTCGCGGAGGCCGGAGCCTCCCGCCGGAGTCGCCGTTCCCGGCGCGGGGAAGAGCTGCAGCAGAGCGAAGCGTTTGCACTAAGTGATCACATTTATTTGAATATTTTTTTTCCTTTTTTTTTTTTTTTTGTGTGTGTGTGTTCTAAAATTGGTTACAGAATAAATACCTGTGCCTTATAGCAGGAAGTCCACTTTTTTTTATACAAAGTGCTTGTTACAGGAAGTTGCATCAGCGATACGCAGAGGCGGGGAGCATTTCGGCAACGCTTCCCCTCCTGAAAACTAGAACAGAATTCTTTTTATTTATTCTTTTTTTTTTAAAGTTTCTTTTCCCTTTTTTTTTGTGCATTAGATTTCCTGCCATTGTGTATTTACAAATCTCTGAAAGAAAAAAAAAGCCAATATGCATGAGAAGTGGCCTTTTAACACAAAAAAAATCAGCCTTTTAAAAAAAAATGTAACAAACCCAAAATCTACAAGTATCGTCTCATACTGAATCAGTGATAGATTTTTTTTTTCTTTTTAAAAAAGGAGAGATGGGGCGGGAGGGGAAAACTGAACCAAACCCAAAAACACGAACTCAGAGAAGCTGAAAGGGCGAAGGAGCCGCTGTCCCTTCCGCAGTTTTCCAAAGGCGGAACAGGAGTGTGACATCCCGAAGCGGACGCCTGGCCGAAATGCCCAGCGATTTCTTCCCAGTAATTTCTCCCTCGTCTTTTCCCAGCGAGGGGCAGGATGGACATTCCAAAATTAAATTAAAAAAGAATCAAAAGGAAAAAAAAAATCATTTTAAAGGAAACGAAAAACAAACCAAAAAAAAAAAAAAAAAAAAAAAAAGAGATGAGAGAACAACCCTCCCCAAAATCCTGGAGGGGGGCGCGAGGTGGGAAGGAAACGGCGTTTGATTGAGAGGAAGGAAAAGCCAAACCAAAGCAGACTCCTGTCTCCGACCGCGCCGCCGCGCAGGGCTCGGAGCCTTTCGTGGTTAACTGGTGACGTAGTGTTTCGCAGAAGGCTGCCCGTAGACCCTATAGAAATCCTGCCGCCCGTGCTGCTGCGACGCGTCAATCCATTCCCGCACGGCAAGTCCCGGCAGCGACTGGGGCACGGCGGGCGCGGGCGGCAGCGGGTGCGAATACTCCTGCGAGGAGACTGTCCAGGGGAAGTGGCCCGACCTGGGGTAGGGCTGGTGCCCGCCGTGGTTGGACACCGAGGAACAGTAACAGTTGTCCACTGAGCAGACGAGGATTTTGCGGCCGCCGTACTGCGAGAGCACGGACTGCTGAGATGACGTGGTGTTGGGGTAGTGAGATGGGTTGAAGACGGAGCCCGAGTGCACCGGCTGCGGGCCGCTGGGGAGTCCGACAATGTGCTGCGTGGAGCTGCAAGGCACCATGGCTTGTGCGGACTGGCCCTCGCCCGCCGCCGCGCCCTGGCCCATGTACTGGCCGGCCACGGCGCCGGCCGCCGGCTCCAGGAAGCTGCCCTCGGGGAAGGCCGTGGAGTGCTTGCGCTTCTCGGCGCCGCCGCCGCCCGCCGCGCACGGGTACATGGGGATGCTCTGCAGGAAGGGCACCGGCGTGCTCAGAGGACCTACGCGGGCGACACAACACGTGAGATGGCCCCGAGGGGCAGCCCGGACAGCACAGTGCACCCCGCCGTCCCCCCGCTGCCCACTTCGGGGCTTCCCATGGGCTTTTCGCGCTGTCGGGCAGCCCAAAATGTAGCCCTGCAAGCCTTGATACCCCCTGGAACCCGGGCACCCACCCGACCTCCCCAGCGGTGTCCCGGGGCCGGGGAGGAGCCTGGCGCGTGCAGGTTCGGCGCCCGCCGGTGTCACCCACCTTCCAGCAGCTTCCTGAGCTGCTTCTCCTTCTTGGCGATCTCGTTGAGGAAGAGCTTGGAGTTGAGGTGGCCGATCTTGGGAGGGGGCAGGCTGCCGCCCGTGCAGTTCTGGGTCCTATGGGGGCCGCGGGCAGAGAGGGGCAGGGTGAGGGGCAGCGCGCGCTGGGTCGAGAGTCACGCTGCCCCACGCGCTGCGGCCCTGCAGCCTCCCCTCCTGCAGCCCCTCCTGCAGCCCCTTCTCCTGCAGCCCCTCCTGCAGCCCCTCCT